CGCTCGGGCTGTTGACTGAGCGGCGTTGGGGGGGGGGGGGGGGGGAGCGCGGCTAGGCGCGCGACACGCCATAACGCTGTCAGCCGCCGAGGCGAGCGCATCGAGCGGGAGCTGCCGTGTTATTTTTTAGATTATTCCGTGCCGATTTTTAATACCGCGTTTCGACTTCGCGATAATTGAGGTGATAATTAAGACACGTACTCCTCACGCGAGTAGATGTTGCGGACTTAACCGCGACAGGTAATTACCGCGTTTCATTTACTTTTTATTTGTTAGATAGAGAAACGTCGCGATCGAGTTCCTCAATGCCGATCAAATATTATCATCATCCACTTAAGATTCGAGTATTAATATTTCTTTATTCGGTTGTCATTTAATTATTTTTATTGCGTATTAGAAAGCAATTCGAGCATGCCGTTACGACGATTTCCTTACCTCGTCTTGCTGTCGTGCATAATTAATTGATACTACCGGATATTATGATTGTCGATTGCCGGATTATATGATTGTCGATCAGATATTAACATCATCACCTTTAATTAATCGGATATTATTACTTCTTTATTCAGCTATAATTTAATTATTTTTTATTGCGCATTGGGAAAGAACTCCCGCGTGCCGTTACAACAATTTCTTTTCCTCACTGTTACGTGTAACTAATTAATACTAAATTATTGAATTACTAAATTATATTAAATTTTTGTCACAGAGATCCAAAGGACCAGACGCAGTCACGTGGCTCTAGGGGATGCGATGCCTAGGGGATGCCGCGCCGGAGGATCTGGCTCGGGCCTGGCAGAGTTGGCGCGAAGGTGAGTTTCACCAATTTGAATTCATAATTCCGATAAATGCGATAAAATTGGAAATTTTCTTGTTTGAAATCGAATTCCTTAATGCCTCCATTGTCGTGTGTAATTAAATCTGCTTTCTGTTGCAGAGACGAAACAGACGACCAGCCGACTCTTAGGGGCTGCTGCGCCGGAGGATCTGGCTCAGGCCGAGCGGGGTTAGCTCGAAGGTGAGATTCATTAATTGATAATTCTCTTGCTCGAAATCGAGATAATTTGAATAAAAGACCGCGTTAAATCGTAATTATACGCGGGGGGAATTTTTTCTGAGTAACATCACTACTTGAAAAATTTTGATTTGTTTTGATTAAAAAATTTATTTGCAACATCGAGAAAAAGGAAAGTGGAATATTCCAAGTATGAACGCATTCCGAAAAATTCTTCCAGCGTGAAAAATATCGCGTTTATTTTTTTTAATCCTTCAAACTTCTTCATTCAAATCGTTATCAATGCACAAATCTAACCGGCAAAATGGCATTTTTCTGTTCCAGAAACGAAAGCAGAATGTGGCTACCCTGATCGGAGGTTTGGTGAGTCAAAACAAGAAACATATTAATAATAGAAAGACAAAAAGTCTTCCGATGTAGTGCATGCTTATCTAATCAATGCGATTTACTTTGCTGTAGTTGTAGTATGTGTACGTGCCGTCCAATAAAAATTACACTGCTCGAAACAATTTGAAGATCGCTTTTTCAAATAATATTAGTGATAATGCATATTTTAATAAATTTGGCAAATAAATTTTCAAGTATTTTTCTTCCAATGTATATATATTTAGAAATTGATTAACTTAGATTATTGATTGGTGGACGATTTTTATCGGAGGAAAATTTTGATTAATCAAATCCCAACACTATCTGGTAGATGCTTAAAGTATTGAGTAAACGCTCTGAACATTCAAAATTTTGTAAAATTATTCAGTTTTATTGAATGCGATCTTCCAAATGTCTCGAGCAGTGCGTCAACGCACAAAGAAATTGCGCCAACGCGCAAAAGAATTGCGCCACAGAAAATACGCAATCACATCATCCGCGTCATAGATCTTCTGCCGT